ACCCCTAGTGACGCCTCTTTCCACAACATTTAGGAGCCCACCATTTGGCTCCAGGAGTTCGGATTGAGTTAGGTCGGGGCTAGCCCATAGGATCTAAGGACCATCCTAAAGAATGGGTGAATTGGCAGTCTAAGTCCGGCCCTAAGGATCGCCTCACTAATGGCCACACAACCTAGCCTAGGGTAGCAGGCCCACTCTTCGGGCTCGGGGATGATTAGATCTATGCTATCTAGGATCCTATACTCTATCCTAAGTCTCTCCAGGTCGGCCTTTCTTAGTTTAGATGAGTAGTCTGACGCCCCCCAATTTACAGAAGTATCTGTTGGGCTATCCGATCGCTTCCATTTATTTTCTCTCCTATTATCGCCTCGGCTATTTCTGAAGAGGTCGCCACAATGGGCTCGTCCATCCTCACTAGTTCTAATCCCATCCCTGAACTAGAACTCCCCTCAGAAGCCATTTTTCAGAAGTTAAAAATCCTAAAAGGTACTGAAACTTACGAGTTTAAAGGTTTTCCTAGTCGGAAATGGTGTAAGGTCACCGGATGTTGGTATTTCTCGTTGGAAGTTCAAGTTTCTCGCTGAAATTGCTTAGAAAATGTCGGAAACCGCAAATGGCTTGAGAGCAAAGTGTATTGTTTGTTTTCACAAGGATAGAAAGCTTGAGAAAAGCTCAGAGTCCGCCTTTTATAGAAAGACCCATCCGATCTCCACCGTTGAATTCAAATGTGATCAATCTAAGTCGTTCGTCGCATCTTCAATCTAGACCGTTGAAATAAAATGCCAGATTTGATCTACGCCCAAGATGTTGCTGTGACCTTCACGCTCGCTTAAAACGTGTCATCTCAGTCACCACCAGCCGTCAATAATAAGTAGCCGCAGTAGCCTTTTAGGAGAATGGGCATGGCACACAACTGCCACCTTGGAAATACACAACAGTTGTCAAATCATTTAACGTCTGAATCACCTCGGATCGAGCTTCTCACTCAACTTTACAAAGTTTAGACGCACCTAACGCGAAGTCCCCTGTGGGTCATCGCCTCGGCCGCTGCGTTCCCTCCTAACCTTTACAAATTTTTAGCCATCTCCCAACGCGTTGTCCCCTGTGGGTCAGCGCACCGGTGGTAGATGAGCTCCACACTCAATTTTACAAAGTTTGGATGCACCTGACGCGGAGTCCCCTGTGGATCATCGCCTCGGCCGCTGCGTTCTCTCCTAAGTTTTACAAAGTTTTAGCCATCTCCCAACGCATCGTCCCTTGTGGGTTAGCGCACCAGTAGCAGATGGGCTCCTCATTCAACTTTACAAAGTTTAGACGCACCTGATGCGAAGTCCCCTGTGGGTCATCGCCTCGGCCGCTGCGTTCCCTCCTAAGCTTTACAAAGTTTTAGCCATCTCCCAACGCGTCATCCCCTATGGGTCAGCGCACCGGTGGTAGATGAGCTCCTCAATCAACTTTACAAAGCTTAGACGCACCTGACGCGGAGTCCCCTGTGGGTCATCTCCTCAGCCGCTGCGTTCTTTCCTAAACTTTACAAAATTTTAGTCATCTCCCAACGCGTCGTCTCCTGTGGATCAGCGCACCGGTGGCAGATGAGCTCCTCACTCAATTTTACAAAGCTTAGGTACGCCTGACGCAAGTCCCCTGTGGGTCATCGCCTCGATCATCGCGTTGACTTTTTTTCCTACTAATCGTCCAGTCTTGCAGCGCTTCAACCTCACATCGGTTATTGTTTACTTTATGTATTAACGAAGTTTTGGCGCATTTGCATAAGATCATGGCTTCGGTTACTGCAGAAGATCGACCCACAAGCTCCCACGAGTCGCGGTCCCTAGTACCGAGGCATGGACATCCAGTCAGGAAAGTAAGTCCACCCATGATATAAATATTCATACCTGGACTTGGGGGACCACTGTTACGCCCCTATCTGAACCGCCTTGGAATGCCCACCACCACACATTCTAGTCTGATCGACACCCATCCGAAGCGTTTCTGAAGTGATCTCACCAATGTCAATGACCTGAGAGCACACTGCGAGACATAGGTGATCCTGCTGAACTGACCGAAGCGCCCTCGCCCCTCAGGCCAATGCGAAGTGGACCTTTGTCAGAAGATCCGCCGCCAATTTCAGAAAGAGATTTTTGCCAAGATCCTCTCTGCACTTAAGGTTTAAATTGATTTGACGTCTCCATGAGGCTAGTTGATGTGACTTATCAACTTTATGTCAACTCAATTCGGGAGAAACAAACTGCCCGCTCACTCTACAGACGCGACTGATTGACGCCTATGAGCGAACGTCTCATACCGTCAGATGTATACACGTGTCCCACATCCAATAGTTCATCCCACCTATAAATACTCAAGGTTTGGCAAGAGGCAAAGGTAATGAAACTCTTACTACATAATACTCCATAGCAAGTTCATATATTTTCTCCTCACCCTTAGTGTTTTTGACATAACGTCTGGGTACTGTTTCAACCACCCGAACCTGACTTGACCGTCGGAGTGTATACGGCTGCCACCACCCCGCTGGTCCCGACCATGTCCGTCTGATCGTGCGTTGATTGTGCGCAGAGAGGAATATGTGGAGTAGCTATCGATTGGCCACGTGGAAGGTCCAATTTTTGCTGTCATCAGAGGATATAATCAAACTTACAAAATAGTTAAGAAGAAATTGAAGCATTTGACATCTCTGAAACAAATTACATGAACATAATCCCTATGCATCATAATCTCGATCAAATTCATAAAAATCAGCACATACAAGACATTAGAAAAGCAAATTAAGTCGTCATTTCACAAATATACATGTGCAATATACTCCCGTTCACAAGTATACATGTGCAATATACTCCTGTTCAAACTTTAAATTAAATGGTTGGAATTTTAAATTTGTTGATATCATCTAAGAACAGTCAATAAATACAGTTTTGATTGCCACATTTCCTTCTCTTCAAGCTTTACCACACGTTTTCATCGGCCGAGCATAATGAGAATAAAGGTAGCTTCAATATATGTTGATGACTTAGCTTAGGAATGGAGAAGTTAGCCTCTTGCTTATTAATAATCAAAGTTTGGTAAGCAAAATATATAATCTCATTCATAAGAATAATAATAGTATTATTAGGAGCTAATTTGGCTCTTGGTCAAATTCACGAAAGTAATATTTTGATGCTTCTAATCTTGAGTTCAAAACTTGTGTACTAGGCAATTTACTATGTAATGGTTAATTGTGCTTCAATGGCTCCTATTATTTTTTTTCTCATTTAAACAAGTACTTCTTGCATCTATTATTTTTCACACACTAAGAAACAAGCTACATAACAACTCAACCCAATTCAATTTGGAGCTTTAAAAGAAAAAAAGAAACAAATTTTGCAAATTTGGTGGGTCAAGTGTCCCACTATGTCCCATAATGTGTTCGCCCCTGACCAACTACTCGTGTACATCTTCTGTCAGCAAGTGATCGACATTGGAGGCTAATAGTTGCAATTGTGTAGTTTCTAAGCACCTTGGCTACTACCTTGAAATAGATCTCTCCTTCAATATAATTATCAATAAGAGACATCCCAGTTCATCCTAAATAAATTCTTAGGTTCTCTCTTGCATGGCTTATGTAAAAAAAAAAAATGCTTATAACCTTGCAGAAAGCTCAGTACCCTTGGGATGATGAACCTTTCTTCAACGATGAATATACAAAAATATTTTGGTGAGGGAGGTGCTTCACGTTGAGCACTTGCCTAGAAAGGTTAAGCCTAGCGATCAGGAATAGGAAGCGGCAAAGATGAAGAAGTAGGTAACAACCTCAACCTGCTCAAGGCAATCTACCCTGAGGTAAGATCACGAGTGGTCAGAAACTCAATTACAACAGCATGGAGGGGCAATCTAAATCTCCTTCTTTAATCTTTGAAAACAATTGTCTAACTTGGCCAATACTAGCGTGGCTTATAATCGAGCCTCAAGGTTCATACCTCATATATATTCATTAGATAAATTTCTTGGCCAGGACTATCACTATGTGGTCTTTGTCAACACACACTGGGCGTTTTTAGCCCCATTTTTTCTGGTTAACAAATTTAGAAATAGTGATTTATTGGAAAATGTGTGATTAAGAAATAAGAAAAAGTTTTGAGTTTAAATATAAAATTATTTTGTTAAGAGAATGTGTGATTGAAAATGAATTGAGAAAAAAAAAAAAGAATTTTATAGAATGGAGCTCAAACAAGGGCTTAAATTCATATCTTTTCAAGTAGCTATTAATGAACTCGACTGGACTCATATAAACCAAATTTTCATAAATAAGCTTACGTCTGTTAAGTTTTGATCGATCATATTGACCTATTTGAGCCATATTTCGGTAAGAATGTTTTTTTTGGAAGAGCCTTTTTTCCTATAATATATAGTTAAAGAAGAAGGAAAAATTTTCGAATTATAAGAGAATACGTGATTGAAAATAAATTTTGAAAAAATAAAATTTTAAAAAAAATGGGAGCCAAACAAAAGCTATTATTAACCTCAAGTTGCGCAATAGTCATTGACATTCAACTTAACTCTCTCTTAAGTGAGATAATTAGTTGGAAGGATAAATAAGTCCTCGTTTGACCCCATTTTTTTTATTCGTTTTCATTATTTTTTTACAATACTTATTTTTAATCACATATTTTTTATTAAAATAATATTACATACAAAATTAAAAATTTTCTTTCTTTTTTAATTATACATTTTTCATCCATTTAATATTCTATAATACATTACAAGAAGTTAAAGAGTCTAAAATTCACAGGAGGCCCAACTTTTTTGACTTGTAAGAAAAAGTTCGTGATCGTTAGCAATTTCATTTTGTTCAATAATTAATTTGACCAAAAATACAGCAAACATAGATCTAGACCGTCAAAGTAATATTTGAGACTGATGAACGGCCAGAACAACAACAGATGACATCGCCATTTTTGCTTCTCTCTGAAGCATCATCCGCTTTAAATGAGCAAATCCTCTCTCTCTCTACATAAAATTTATAATAAAATAAAAATTCTTCCTCCTCTTCCTGTCTTACGGTCTCGCTACACCCAGACAGGAGGTCTCCGTATTGTATGATGAAAACCTCTCTTTCTACGCACAATTTATACTAAATTAACACTTTCTCTTGATCTCAGTATCTGAGTGAGTGTTTGACGACTCATTTAATCTTCGGTCTTACTCTCGGGCTGAAAATCTGTGAAAATGGTGAGTTTAATTGATTTAGAATTTTTTTTTATACGTTAGATCTGGTTGGGATCTGATTCACATTTCAATCAATTGAGTATAGCATTTTTCAAAATTTCGTAAGAAAATGGATATTCTATTATTTCAGTTTGAGTCAAATTTTTATCTATTGTTGATTCACTTTTTTGCGATCTGGAGCTTCTGTTATTATTTACTAACTCAAGTTTATCCACTGTTTTTGTTTTGAATTCTATTATTGGTGTGATGCAGCCGCTCAGATTAGAAATTAAGGTACTGAAACTATTAACTTTGGAACTTTTTAAGTTTAGTGTTTATTGTGTGTGAATGTTGGGTGCTCCTTATAAAAAGGATGTTGGATTCTGACATGGAATCATTTTATTCAGAGAAAACATGCTCAACGATCAGAAAGAGTAAAATCCGTGGATCTACATCCAACAGAGCCATGGTAAATATGTTTTTCCATTTAACCATGTAGTGTTTTTCATATTTCTTTGATATGTAGTAGCTGTGGCATTGAAAGTATACCATTTAACCTGCATTTTTACAATGTTATCCTTTTGTGTGGTAAAAGCACGCAATTTTTCCCTACTTTCTATTTTCTGTTTTTGAGGGATAAAAGCTGCAAATTTTACGGTGTTGGAGTTAATGCTGCAAATCTCAGTATGTTATTTATTCTGTTTACACTGTTTAATCTGGGTTCTGTACTTTCCATTTCTCGGTTTGTGCATGTGTATGAGGTGGAGGCAGACCTACTAGATATAGGAGAATGATTGTGGATGCTAGTGTCTTTGTTCGAAGTTAAATGTATGAAAATTCCCATGGTGAGATCATTTATTTTCCTTTTGCAGGATATTGGCAAGTATGTATTCAGGGACTGTTTGGATTTGGAACTATCAGAGCCAGGTATGGGAAATTCAGCTGATTTGATCATTTTCTATTCTCGTTGATGAATCATAACAATATTAGTAGAATAGTTTTATTGGATACACTGTGTTCCTTCGTCAACTTATTGCCCTTTTAATCTTCTGGAAATGTTAAAATATTTGGCAAAATTATGGGAATCTTGTAATCTGAAATGATGAAAATGCAATTCATAAGTTTAGATAAATTCTTTACGAATTGGATGAAGGTATACTTACGTATCTTTTAGATTTTAGCGGTTTAGTTGAAATGTAATCATTTATTAATATATAGATGAAAAAGAAGAGCTGCAATTTTGACAGTGCTGAGTCAAGCTTATCGACATTATAATCGACATGGTGGTTAGTTGAGACCTTCAACATGGATCAACCGGGATAAAAATATGATCACTTCTTTACATCTTGATAGTTTTTGTTTTTATCGCTCTTTTTTTCCCTTTAAAAAGGTGGTTGGAAAAGTATCTAATTTATTCTGGAAGAAAACAAACAAAAGTATTAGACTAATTGGGATATAAAGAAATCCGTATTGGGGATGTTCTTTTTGAAATCCTTGGCTTTCTTCAAGAGTTTATTATAGAAGAAATCACGAAATAAACGATGCCAAGTCGACACCAAATTTACTAAAAATTTCTCTAGCATTTGCTAATATTCTGTATACTCTCTTAGAATAAATAAAAAATGCACAAAAACAAAAATGTATATCGTGTTCTATCATCACGGAAGACTTGGGGTTTTTATGGCATTCTCTGCAGATTTCTGTGTAAAATGACTTCATTTACTGTTTTTTATAATGACATTTATGGACAATTAATGGTATTACAGTTGGAAGAATTGTAGGCTACATTTTCATGGTTCAAAAGTGCTTATGGTTGACTGCAGTTTTGGTGAAATTTGAAGTTGGCCACAAAACTTTAATACCGATTTGGTTACTCTACACCAGTAGTCAATCCTCTTGAGTACAAAGTACAAACCCTTAGTGGAATGCCACATCTAACTGAATCGCTGTAAAAAACAAAATGTCCAAAGTCCTACCCTTACCCCTTATGAAATAAAGAGCAACCTCAATACCTAGTCCAACTTCTACCCCCGTTTTGCCATCAAAACCTTCTACAGGGCTGCATGGTAATAAAGTTCATCCACCCAGAGAATGCCTCCAACCATCGTGCAGGCGCAATTTATTGCAGTCTATAGCATACAATTAGATGAAAATAGTTATATAGTTTAGCGAATGTTCAAACTAGAACTTGAATTGCCTCGGCATTTTCCTTTTTTCATTGTTATTGACCATAATTAATTATATATTTGGACCCATAACTACTACGCAATTATGATCCACATTAGGGATGTGGATCATATATATTTGGGCGAGCTTGGCTCGGTTCCGAGCCCGGCTCGTTAGTAGACGTCGTTTTTATATATATATATATATATATATATATATTTTTTTTTTTTGAGAACAAATAGGTAATTTGAAAAATAAAAATGCAATTTTTTTTAACTAAAAGAGAGAAAAAATAAATAAGAAAACTTTATTTTTTTATTTTTCTTTTTAAAATAGATAAAATATAAACCCTCCTTCTTTATCCGGGTTTGGGACCGGCTACTTAAATTTTCAATAGGCGGAGTTAAAAATTGTACACGAATAATTTTTTGTAGCGTGTACAATTTTTTAAAGAAAATTAAAAGTAACGATAAGAAAAGAAAAGTTTTATCAATATAATTAAATCAAATATCACTTACTTGACGACATGCAATTTCGGCATATTTATCTTGTAGTCGAAAATGAGCGTCTTGCTAATCCTTAACGCACATTAACGCTTCTAAAATATCTTCTTTCAGTCGGCTCCTGACATCGTTCAAAACTCTTTTACCTGTACTAAAAGCAGACTCCGAAACAACAGTGTTAACCAGAGGTGTCAGTAGATCTTTTGCAATTGCAGATATAACTGGCCAACATCGTTCATACCTTCGTTAGAATTCAATTACTTTGTCTGAACTTTTTTTAATTGTTTTATCTGTTGACATATTCTGGTTGAAGTAATCAATTAATTCAGCAGGCAATGCATTATGGCTTGAGCCCGTAGATGTATGATGAGAATGAGATACAGATGGTGATGACATGGCAGTGGCAGTGGTAGTAGATGAACACATTACAGATAAATCAAATCTATACAAATTAATGCCTTGAAATAAATTAAATATTAGCGCATCTTCTTCTTCAATTTCAGTGGAAGGAGTAGGTGCAGATGGTACCCGACTAATATTGGTACCCATTCGGTTCGCAAATAATTCATACATTTCACATAATGCTTGCTCTAAATTTCTATATGTGATAGGTGTATCAAATGTTAAGATATTTGAAATTTGATCAATTATATATTTAGTTCCCGATAAATTATATCGGGAGTCCATCACGCATGTTAAAGGAAATAACATAGGCAAATCTTCCCAATATTTTCTAAATTTTAATTCCATAACAATTATAATTTCACTAAAATTAGGGTCATTTCTGTATTTATGAAATGTTCTTGCAATTATATAAAGACGTTCAAGCACCATACAGTTGGTGGGATAGTAAACGCCCGATGAAATTTTAGTGGTTTTATAAAAAGATGTCAAAATTTTTTTAATTTTCAAAGCTAAATGCTAATCACGTTCAGTCAACATACCCTCGTCATCACTTCTAAGATGTCTATTATTATAAAAGTCAGTTATTAAATGTTCAAAATCTTCACATGAATTTAATAATAAGTAAGTAGAGTTCCACCTATGACCTACGTCGCTAACAAATGTTTTAACATTTTGCACTCCTATTTCGGCACAATAATCCTCAAATGCTTGTTTTCTACTTGGAGAGATTGTGATATATATTACTGCATTCTTAATATTTTGAAGTTCATCCTTTATATATTTTAAACCATTTTGGATAATTAAATTCAAAATATGACACACAATGAATATAAAACAAATACCCACCAAAATCAAGTTGTAGTATCCTATGCAATTTTTCAGCAACTACTTTATTAACACTAGCATTATCAAAAGTAAATGAACGAATTTTACCTTCGCGATGATATTCTCTAACAATACTAATAATAACATTAAATATATTATTAGCATTGTGAGAAAACTCAATAATTCTAAAAGCAATAATTTTTTATGCATGCACCAAAGTGAGTTTATATAATGTGCAGTTGCAGCTATATATATTCTTTTATTAATTTCTTCCCCTATATTTGAAGTTAAAGATATGACACACTCATATTTTTGCAAATTCATAATTAATTGTTGTTTTGTTGAAGTAAAATGCTGTATTGTATTAGAACAAAGAGTGTTTCGACTTACCCCAATGTACCTTGGCTGCAGATATTCTTTCACATACGAGACGTAGTGTTTGTTGTCAATTAATGTCAAAGGCAACTCAGCACCAGCAACAAGTTTCACCATTCCGGTTTGAGCTTTCTCCTCCGAATACACCCGTGTGGATAGGGGTGCAGTAGAACCACCGGCGTCTGGATTGCCAAATTGCATTTGTGTTTGACAGCCTGAAATAAGTCCGTGTTTGGCCGCACATACTTTGTAATGACGGTTGAGATGGGTGGTACCATTCCTCTTTGCCATGCTAATCTTTGTTGGCAGTATTTATATACTGCTTTGGATTTTTGGATTCCATTGACGATTTTTCTCGTTGAAATCAACTTAAAGTGATCATAACATTTTGCTTATTTTTCCCCTTTCGCTTTCCTTTCGCATCAGGAATGTTTAATTCAATCTCTTCTTCCTGATCGTGTTTCTCTTTGGGAAGGTCAACATCATCCAAATTAATTAGATAATTTGGGTTGCCGTTTACATGATGATGAAGATCCAAATCTGGAATATTTTCAGGCAGGGATAAGTCATTTAGACCTTCAAATTGATTCTGAAATTGACTTTGCGGTGTCATAGGCGATTCGTTTTCTCCCACACCGAACAAGTTTTCGACAAATGAGCGTGGATCTATTTGTTTAGTTGTAATAAGTAATAACTAGTAGAAGAATAATTGTATAAATGTAGTGAGAAATGAAAATTGGATGAAATTTCAATAAATATAATGAGAACTGAGAAATGAGAATTGGATATTGTATAAATTTTATATAAAAATTGCAAGTTATCAACATAATACAAGAAACTTGAGAGAAAGATAATTGAGAGTTGAGAGAATTGTAAAAAAATTTGTGGCTAAATGCCACTATTTATAGAAGAAAAGGAAAAAAAATAAAAATAAAAATAAATTGAAGGACCAAAACGGTTTCAGTGATCGTTAACGGTCAAAAAACATATTAAAAAAAAAACATAAAAATAAAAATTAATGAGGGACTGAAACGCAGTGACCGTTCAAAAAGTGACTGAAATGGTCACATCTTGGCTCTCCCACCGAACCGGCCTGCTCGGCTTGCGCTCGGGCTTGTGTTTTTACGAGCCCGAGCCGTCCACGAGCTCCGTTTTCGCGAGCCGACGAGCCGCTCGGCCCATTTGCCACCCCTAATCCACATATTCTATTGGACTAACAACTTAATAATCACTTACCAAACATGCACTAATTTTTGCCTACAGAAGAACACTAGTATCTATATTACCATGCTTAGGAAGATAACTATTATACAATTCAATTAACATGTTTTTAGTTCACAATTAATTTCTTTTATCTAAATTTCTTTTCCTTTTTATCAATAATTTCAACAAATTTTATATCATATCGATATTATGAAAAGTCATAGAAATATGAGAAAAATGTGAATGAAAAATGTAAGTACGAGGACAACAACACTAGAAACAGATAGCTTTGTAAATAGGAAAACTTTCGTTAAAATGAATGCGATGTGGCAAACACCGTTATGTAGAAAATGTTGGCTATGTATCGGATGATAGTAAGCGGTAATGGCATGTTCACATTCCTTAAATGAAGTAACAGTAGACACTTTGAATCCTATTTAGTTTTTTGCTTATCAGCAAACTTTTTGTTTTTTAATCTTAAAGTTTTACAAGTCTTGCAAACTTTTGTTGGTGTGAAAGATGAGAAAAAAATATTAAGAGCTGCCCTAGTAATTTGCAATTCTGAACTTCATTTTTGCTGGTGCAGACAATGGTTAAATCTTTTGAGGTCACTGAATTACCAGGTATGCTTGATTAAAATTATATGTTATTATTTCGTTTGCTAAATAAATCCTTCCACTAGAGGAACAGTTTCCATTGTAATGTCTAATATATCTGTTTACAGTTAGATCTGCAAAGTTTATAGCACGTAAGCAGTGGGTTGTTGCTGGTGCCGATGACATGTTCATTCGTGTGTACAATTACAACACTATGGATAAGGTCAAAGTGTTTGAGGCCCATACAGATTATATTAGGAGTGTGGCTGTTCACCCTAATCTTCCATATGTGTTGTCATCATCTGATGACATGCTGATAAAGCTCTGGGACTGGGATAAGGGGTGGGCATGCACTCAAATATTTGAGGGGCATTCACATTATGTGATGCAAGTGACATTTAATCCAAAGGACACCAACACATTTGCCAGCGCATCCCTTGACCGTACAATTAAGGTATGAGTAGGGTTCTTCCTAATTAAATTTTGCAAGGATATTTGTGTGCTTGGATGTGCCATTTATGAGCCTGTGTTTCTTTATGTAGATTTGGAATCTTGGCTCCCCTGACCCAAACTTTACTCTAGATGCCCATCTGAAAGGGGTAAATTGTGTAGATTATTTCACAGGTGGGGATAAACCTTATCTAATCACTGGTTCTGATGATCACACTGCTAAGGTATGTGCCTTATTTCTGTTTCTTCTTTTTCTATGTTAAGTTTCTCAATATTAGAATATAAATTTGCTTCTTAACAATGAAAAACAGGTTTGGGATTATCAGATGAAAAGTTGTGTCCAGACGCTAGAAGGTCACTCACACAATGTATCTGCTGCATGTTTCCATCCTGAACTTCCCATTATAATTACAGGTTCTGAGGATGGTACAGTTCGTATTTGGCATGCCACCACCTATAGGTAAAACTGATGCTCCGTGATTGCTTAGCACTTAACGGTGACAATGTCTTTTATTTTTTCATCTCTACAAATTAGGATAACGATGTAAACAGAATCCACTGAAGAAAAGCAAAAAATGATTAACTAGAAAACTCTATATTTTCTATTTTAACTGATTTTCTAGAAAATGTTTGCATTTGCGGACTTGACATTTTAAAATTGGGAAGGAAATGGCTGAGAGGAAATGGGTACGCATTCGGGGAGAAGGTTTTCTCTTGGGTTAGCTTGTAAATGAGAATGGAAATTCTGATGGCATGGATGGCTTCTGCGACAATGAAGAGGTTATTGTGGTCTGGAACAAGAAACCGGAGGAAGATGTGGGCAGCCTTGGTGGGGGGTTACCACCAGGAAGGCCTTCGCCTTGGGTGGTGGTCGCTTTTGTTTTAGTTAGGGGCAAGGAGGAGACAATTGCTGGTGGCTGACTGCTGAGTCAGGAGCACATGTGGTGGGACACGTGTGTTGCAGTGGTGAGTTTGGGGCGGTGATGGTTTTCTGTTGTGGTTGTTTTTTTTTTTTTTTTTCCCTTCTCTATTAAACTAAGTGTTGCCTATAAACTCGAATGCGTAATGTTAAAACCTATGTTTTCTGTCATTGCGACCAAAGTGATACAAAATGAAAAGATGCGACTTGCTTGCTACAGATTGAAGGTTGAGGACCTACTTACTTTGTTTTGAATAGGCCAGGGAAACCAGCTATTATTTTCCATAATAATTGTTCTCGGGGTCCACCTTTTTCATCTTTTATTGTGTCTGCTTTCTCTTCTTTTATTGAGCTTACTTTGTTTAATTTGTTTATCTTTAATGCTGCCTACAAAAGAAAATTAATGTCTGTCACTTATCCGAATATAATATCTATCAATCATTTGTATCATCTTGCAGACTTGAGAATACCTTGAATTATGGACTTGAAAGAGTTTGGGCTATTGGCTACATAAAAGGCTCAAGGCGGTAAGTTTGTTTATAGTTCATTTTATGTGTTACTATTGGCTTATCTTAATCTGTTCGAACTCTGGGCATTCATGCTGGCAAATATTGCGCTTCTATGCTTTGTATTTTAATGTTGCAGAAAGTCCTTAACTTTCGTCTTGTTCAAAAACCGTCATTTTTTAAAGCAAAGGGTACAAAAACAATGGAGCCTTCAGCTAATTGTCAATTCCCTGATGATGGTCAACCGTTCTGGGAAACATTAGGAAGTTTTACAAGTGAATTTAAATATTAGTTATCTACACTTTTTTATTGGAAGACTGCATTTCAATTTGTTGTATTTGCTGCACAGGGTTGTAATTGGCTATGATGAAGGAACCATCATGGTCAAGCTTGGTCGAGAGGTACCTGTTGCCAGTATGGACAACAGTGGCAAAATCATATGGGCTAAGCACAATGAGATTCAGACTGTTAACATTAAGAGTGTGGGGGCAGATTATGAGGTATATGAATTGACTTATTAAATTGATACAAAGTTGCTCGTGTCTAGTAGGAAAATTACATACCTACTTTTTCTCTCAGGTTGCTGATGGAGAAAGGTTGCCTTTGGCGGTTAAGGAATTGGGAACCTGTGATCTTTACCCACAAGTCAGTTTTCCATGATAAATGCTAATATGTTAATTTATTTAAGAGATGTTCTTTCACATCTGCAATTGTCATATGTAGAGCTCATGACTCTCCATCTAGTTTCTGTTCAGAGCCATTTCGTGGACTATTGAATCTTATCTGATGGATATTATGGATTTAATTGTTATTATGTTTATCTAAATGATATATGGTAAGTTTTAGTCATTAGATTATTGCTGCTTTACAGTTTTAGCAGTTTCTTGCTGTACGAATAGGCTAAAACTAATACTGAAAACTTCAAAGATATATATTTTTGAACTTGTGTTCTTAGCTTGTTCGTTATTACTTTGCTCGATGCTTAAGAGATTGTCATCGACGCAGTTTGGATTTTTGTCTGTTTCTAGCTCCCCTTCCTGTCTCATGTGTAATCTCTGTAGAGTTTCCTCTGCATCTAATTTTTCTGCACATCATGGACTATGGTATGCCTAGAGCAACCTATACACTTAGTTTTAGGAGAGACAATGTTGAAAAATATTTTCTTATCTACTTTTTGTCGTATGTCTCTTTGAATACTGATTATTGTCCAAAGAAACATGCTCTGTAAACCCAATATCCGTGTTATTTGATGTATATTTGAACCAGCCAAGTTCTGGCACCTTGAACCTTGGCTGCCTCTCTAACCTACTTTAATCAGTATATGTTCTTTATATCTTCTTTAAAATGTTCCTAATGCACAGAAATTCAGACTCTCTTGCGTAATTGCAATTGTCTTGTTCATATCTCTATTTGAAAGATTAATCTAGCAGTTGTAGTAATTGTGTATCACTCCGTGTTGGCATAGTGTTGAATTCCTTACTTTTTTTTCTTTGCAGAGCTTAAAGCATAACCCTAATGGTAGGTTTGTTGTTGTGTATGGAGATGGTGAATACATTATATACACAGCATTGGCATGGAGAAATAGGTCATTTGGATCAGCATTAGAATTTGTTTGGTCAACGGATGGAGAATATGCTGTGAGGGAAAGTACATCAAAGATTAAGCTCTTTAGTAAAAATTTCCTGGTTGGTTATATTCCTTATATTTATTTTTGTTTCATCCTCTCCTTCTTGCAGGATTGATTTGAATTTAAAAAAAAAATGTCTGTTACCTATTATGCCAGTGTTCAGCCACCCCTGCCTCCTTGTCCTACTACATTTTATTTTTTCAATTTTAAATAAAATCTCATTTAATTGATGTCGAATTTAGCTATAACTACGTCTGGGTGCTACAAAAAGCATTCTACTTGGCCCTCATTTGGCCCCCATTCTTGCCAAATTTTAATGGTTAGAATAGTGTTTTTTTTTTTTTTTTGGAAAAATGTGTGGTTGAAAAAGAATGAAAAGTTTTTGATTTACGTGTAATATTATTTTATGGAAGATTGTGTGGTTGAAAATAAGAGAGAAAAAGAATGAGAATGAGAATGGGGGTCAAATGGAGGCTTGACATCCATTATGAATGTGTTCTTGTTACAGTGACTCTGTGGATCTGGTACAACATATATTTAGCTGTTCATGTATGTTGCTTGCAGTTTCTCAAATATTGTAATCCTGCATAATCCTTTCATGGCTTTTCAACTTGGTCCAAAACTATATTCAAAGTCTTTCCCAGCACATATAGGGGGATGACATTTAGAATGATGTTCTCTTGCAGGAGAAAAAATCCATCCGGCCGACATTTTCTGCTGAGCACATATATGGGGGGACTTTATTGGCAATGTGCTCTAATGATTTTGTTTGTTTCTATGACTGGGCGGAGTGCAGGTTGATTCGACGAATTGATGTTACTGTCAAGGTAAAAATGGTACATCTTGAGCTATTCTTTTCTTGTGCTGCAGTTTTGAACATTGATTCTGATCATTTTTTTTTTTATCATTCTCATTAATTTTCCAGAATCTTTACTGGGCTGACAGTGGTGATTTGGTGGCCATTGCTAGCGATGCATCATTCTACATACTCAAGTATAATGTGAGGATTCTACTAATCTTACTCTGTTATGAATCTGCCTGCAAGTTTATTCCTGGGATATCCTTCTTTCTTGGACTTGATTGGCTTTTATACACCGCAGCGAGATGTAGTTTCTGCACATCTGGATAGTGGGAGATCAACAGATGAACAAGGTGTTGAAGATGCCTTTGAGCTTCTTTATGAAATTAATGAACGAGCAAGGACTGGAATTTGGGTGGGGGATTGTTTCATTTACAGTAGCTCTTCGTGTAGACTCAATTACTGCGTGGGAGGAGAGGTATGGTTTCTTTTTCATGCATTTTTACAATCACATCTAATTTTATTCTTCTAGAGTGTAAGTAATGTGTTTTTATGTAATTTTCTAGGTGACAACAATGTTTCATTTAGATCGGCCTATGTATCTTTTAGGATACCTTGCTAACCAGAGCCGAGTTTTTCTCATTGACAAGGAATTCAAGTGAGTGGGCTAGCGCATGCTTTAAGAAGCAAAACTATTATGATAATATTTATTTGTTTTAGGATTGGGGATTCTATTTTTGCAACCGTTGAATAAGTGTCTCTTTATTCTTTGCAGTGTTATAGGATATACTTTGCTGCTCAGTTTGATTGAGTATAAAACTCTTGTAATGCGTGGTGATCTGGAAAGGGCAAATCTGGTTTTACCGTCAATTCCGAAGGAGCATCACAATAGGTTTTTTACTTCACTTATTTTTTGACTCCTGGATAAGATTTACGTCTTAAAAGTGATGGGCAGATGAACATCTAACTAATTATATACCCAAGGAATTACCTTTTACATGGAATGACAGTCTTAAATGGGCATGATTTGATTTCTGACTAAATTTTGTTGTGCTACTTTTTGCTCTCATTTTTATCAGATATGAAGTGAACATTAGCTGTTTCATAGTTCTTTTATGAAGTATCACATTCTTTTTGTTTACTCACATTTGTAGAATGAATGCAAGCGAATGTTCTTTTATTCTTGGGAGACCAAAGATGCTTCTTTTGTAATTATAAGTCTTCCAGTCTTCTTTCAGTGGGTTAATTTACGTGGTCCAATACATTTTAAACTTCTTCCATGACATGCTTGGAAGATGACCATTTGCATTCAGTGCAGCTGATGCTATATGACCATTCTACGTTTCTTAAGAAATAATAATGAGTTTATTGAAAATAAAAGAAGACAAATAGGGAATAAGTGCTCGGGAGACTGTTCTTATGTTCTTTTCTCTTTTACCATGTTGTCCAACTTTGATGCACAAATTGCAAGATTCATTTATTTATATTGATTTTGAATATAAATGAATGCTGTCCCCAGTGTGGCTCGTTTCTTGGAATCACGAGGAATGATGGAAGATGCACTAGAAGTTGCTACGGATCCTGACTACAGATTTGAGTTAGCCATACAACTGGGTAAACTAGATATTGCACAGGTAAACATTGCCAACTTGTAAGTTTCGGTGTTATGATTAGCAGCTATGAAAACTTGCTGGAGCACTTTCAGTTTTCCATGCTATTGAGGTGCTAAAATTTGGATCTCTCAATATTATGATTTCGAGAAGCATATGTTGCTTACTAGTGCAGGTTTTTCTGATCTTTTCTACAGGAAATTGCCATGTTAGCACAGGGCGAGTCTAAATGGAAGCAATTGGGTGAATTAGCTATGTCCACCGGAAAGGTATTTATCTTATCCTCCATCATTATCATCTAAGCTTAAAAAGCATAACTGTTTACATAAAAAAATTGTGGATGATGTGTTTTATCATTTATGTCTTATAATACTTTTTATAGACAAGTAGCTTCAGCTGTTTTCCAGTTGTTTGGAAAATATTACCCCTTCTTTTCTCTGTAAGAACATCTTTGATTGTATTAATTAGAAAAGCTATAATTTCATGACTTAGGGTTGGACATGGTCCGGTTCAGTTTTAAAGAGAATTGATTCGAACCTGAATTTTCGGGTATTTAATTAGTGAAACTGTCGAGTCCAAATTTAATTATTGAACGGGTTTGGTTCGGATCTCGGGTTCCGTAAAATAATTAATTTTTTTAATATTTATAACGCTATATTAATTCAACTCATGAGATGTTCAATCTTAACTCTAACAAAATAACATAGTCTAATTACGTGATATCTTTTGTGTCTCTCTTCATTGAGTTTTTCATAGATTTGACTGTTAAAATCGTCTTTTGGTAGCGAGCTCACAATAATGAAGAGAGGCACAATTGAGCTTTCAATTCAATTTTTCCAGAACGACAGAAATGACACTGTTAGAATAAGAGATTAGGGTAAAATTTAGGTCAATTTGATTAAATTGGGCTTGTGCTGCAAATTAGAAATAGGAAAATTATATTTTGGGTTTTGGGTAAATTAATTAGTTAGCAAATTTATTTTAAAAAATAAATTGATAAATTTAATATGAAAAATTTAAAAAATTAGGAAGATTCGGTTCTTATTTGGTTTTTGGTCCGGTACTGAGAACTGAACTAAATAGACAACCCATCGATTTGGGTATTTAATTTAAGAAGAACCGCTCGGTTCAATCCAGTCTGTTTAGGAGTTTTGTCTATCCCTACTCTGACCGCCCAAATGAATTCAGTTATGCTGCATAATAGCTCGGAAAGGTCCTGCTCTTATTTCCATTTAGTTGATTTGATTAGATATATCTGTTTATTGTTTCCTATCTATAATCTTTTTGTAACCATATGTCTTCTATCTTCTACTGCAGTTAGAGATGGCAGAGGAATGTTTGAAGCAAGCAAATGACTTGAGTGGTTTGTTGCTACTCTATTCTTCTTTAGGAGATGCTGAAGGAATAACTCAACTTGCCTCTCTTGCCAAAGAGCATGGGAAAAACAATGTTGCATTCCTCTGTTTATTTATGTTGGGCAAATTGGAGGACTGCCTTCAACTGTTGGTTGAGAGGTAATTATAGTGATCATCTTTGTCTGGCTGTTGTACGTATTGGTCAGGGTGATTATATTATAAATCACAATTTCTTTCCAGCAATCGGATACCTGAAGCTGCATTAATGGCTCGCTCCTATCTTCCCAGTAAGGCGTCAGAAATTGTTGCTCTTTGGAGAAAGGACCTCAATAAGGTTGTCATTTATTGTATCATATTTGCACTTGTTTTGAATGTTGGGAGTTGTGGGTCGTGCAAGTGAGCTTCTGCAGTGGTGTATTTTAATTCTGCATGTTTGGAAAAAGGGTAAACTAAAGCAAATATAATATTGGAAATGGTGAAGCAATTATCTCATTCAGAACTTCCAATTTCATTCTCTCTTTTCTTAAAAAGTTGACCCTTACTGGTTTTCACTGTGAAAAAATATTATAGCTTCTTTCTAATTAATTAATATTTCAGTTAAAATTTAAAAGAAAACGACTTTTGCAAGTTCAACCAATATCTACATTCTGACATCTATGTTGTCATTTCAAACTCTAACATGGAAATGTTTCATTCATCCTTGATTCAGTCCTGAGTTTTAACAGATGTTGAGTATACTTCCCCTCTCTCTTATATTCTAAAGATTCTGAATAAGGTGAAAAAAGATAATTATTTTTTTGGAGTTGGGTTGAAACTAGGCACAGATATATGATTCTCTAATCTTCTCTTCTACTTCCGATATGAATAACTAGAATGCAAGAGTGGAATATCAAGTCTTAAAGAGTTAGCAATTAATCTCAACCACTAATCTCATATGGATTTTATGAGTTGTTATAGTAAAATTTTCGAGGTCTTCTGTTATGTCATGGGAAGACCTTGAGTCGAGAGGTTAAAAACAGCCAAACGTGATCCCTCACCACCACTTGAATATGAAATGTTTCCATGCTACATGCTTAATGTATTTTATGAAATTGTACATCTCAGCACATTGCTTTGTTCTTAGTGTCCTGGTAGAAGTATTCCATACATTCAAGCAGCAGATAAAAAACAGGGTTACATACATCTAATCCTGTTAAATTTAGAATTACATTATGATGTTGAAACATATCTTTCTTGGATTTTGTTTGAAAACTTCCTGCCAGCTTTTCTCGGTTTACCTTGAGAAACGATTGCGAGGGGTGCATTGTTTACTTTTCTTCATACAAGTGACTAATATTAAGAACCATTTGTGCTTTTCTAATAATTTAGCAGTGATGAATTCTTCATTGTTTGATCGGGTTGCACTATTGAATACAATATACAGATAAATCCAAAAGCTGCAGAGTCCCTGGCCGATCCTGAAGAATATCCAAATTTGTTCGAGGATTGGCAAATTGCGCTTGCTGTTGAATCCAGAGTCGCTGAGACGAGGTGTCTTTATATATCTTTTAATTGATAAGCTACTTGTGAATAATACACAAATTTGAAATCATTCCAGTTCATTTCTACAGCCTTATATCTAATTTCCAAGATCATGTTCATTCCATTCAATTTAGCTGTATTATTTTTCTTGACTTCTTTCTGAAATGTCGGTTTCTTTTATACTAGCCGTCCTTGCATCATTTTCTGGGGGGTATGGGCTCGCTTGCTTTGGCTAATTTTTGAAGCATGGTTATGTTAGGACTCAACATTAAGTACTTTCAACTATTTTGCAGGGGTAATTATCCCCCGGCAGCTGAATATGTTCAACATTCAGATAGATCAGTTGCAAGCCTTGTGGAGTCTTTCAGAAACATGCAAGTGAATGAAGAAGGACCACTGGTAAATGGAGGTTTGGATCACGAGGTATGAAAATGTTTTTTGGCAGCTCTACGGAAAATTCTTTTCCCATTATTTTGATAAGATAACATTCGTAAACACGACAGACACTACAGAGCATGTCTTGCGTTTAGTTTAGCTTTGTTTGATATCTTCCAATTTTTTATGTTTCAATTCTGCGATGCAGCAAGTTAATTTCAAACTGGCAAAAAATCTCATTACCTATTAAATTTGCTCCCTGTACAATATGAGAATATTACAAACTGTGTTTTTTAGACTTTGTATAGGTTTTCTTCTTGGATCTTTATGCTGGTGCTCAGTGTTTGTTTCTGTTAGTTTCTCCAGGTTCCAGAACAGAATGAAGATGAGGTACAAGAGGAATGCAAAGATGAGATCCAAGTAGTGGAACATGATGATGGCCACGAAGAGGCAGTTGTTGTGGATGCTGACTCTACAGATGGTGCCGTACTCATGAACAGTAAGGAGGTTGAGGAAGAGGAATGGGGTACGAATGATGAAGGAAATCCGTCAGACTAAAAGCAATTGGTCTGGCCGGTGTGAAATTCCCAATTTTGTTGCTGGTAGCTACCATTTTGACCCATCTGTTGTAGTTCAGAAATGATATTATTTCATTATTATCCATCGTATTCTATTCGTTTGTACCTAGAGTGCATTTTCTCATATAATCTACCTAGAATTTTAGAATGTAGTTGTCATGGGTGTACTTGGAATTAACAAATTGTTCCACAAGTTTGCTGCCTGATTTGGTGGCATCAAAACTTGTTATTTACAAAGAAAATATATTTAAGGTGTAATTATCACTTTGAAGTCTATTTTGGATTCACATGAGAAGGAATTATTATATGAAAAATTATCGGATAGAATTTATGGGTCTGTGCTGTGTTATGATCTCACTCGTTTGAATTATGCTGTATCTCTACAAGAGTGGGCTATGAGTTACATAGCACTTGGATAAAATAAAATTTTGCTATGTCTCATGCATTTACCTCACAGGACCTTGAAATGTCTCTGTTTAAGTCGCTGTTTGAAGATGTACTTGGCGTGCAGTCTAGAATTTTGATAATCATTTTATTGTTTTCATCGGTTATTTGTTTTATACTTTTGTCATTAACCATATGCATTAACTAGACAATTTGTAATCCTAGTACAGTAACCTTGTTACGTTTTTCCCTCCCTCTTTGCTGAGTTGGCAGTGCTTACACATCACTAGATCCACTCAAGAAAGACAGTTCCTGCTGTACCGGATGACTTCTTAAGGTGAGAGTGAAACTATTTTAGTTAGAGAGCTTTTAATGCCCTCACCATTTTTGAATTCTTTTATGTGGTGATTTTATGCCATCTATTGTCTTTGTTCAATCTATCTTCTGTTCTTTAGCAGACATTTGACTGAAATAGCTAAAACTGCAGTCCCTTCTTGTTGATCTTTGTAGGTGTATAGGGTGTTAAAAAATGTATTTTGAATCTCATTCGCTACATCTCTTATCCATAGGGGGAAAAAGAGCTTGTGTTGTCATGTTTGACTGTACTTAGATCTATTTTTATTTATTTGTTCAAGTGTATACTCGTAAACAATTTAAAAAATAAAAAAAAAAAACTTGGTAACTGGCGATTCTTAATCTATTGAGCTTTTATATTGTCTAAATTGACTGGGATTTTCACTTAGCTCATGTTTGGCTTCAAAACTCATTTTCAATCACACATTCACCCATAAAATAATTTTACACGCAAATCCAAAACTTTTTCTTATTTTTAATCACACATTCTCCAACAAAATACTATTCCAAATGCATTTTGTCCCAAAAATGAGGCTCAAACAGGTTTAATAGTAATCTACTGTAACTTTGACCACCTGGTTGGTTATTCTTCGTGTGTGGGTCTGTCGACCTTTAGGTTAACCATTTATTTAGCTGATTTGTTTTTATGGAACTTTTTTTCCGATTGAAATTGGTCGACTTTAAGGGAAGCAATGTTTTGTCATCCTCTACTATCTTTTAAATGAAGGGTTTTATATTGTTCTTTAGAAATATATTTCTTTAATTTTGCTGTATAATAATTCTGAGCATGTTGAGGACATAAAATCTTCCACTTCACTAGTTCAGAGAAAACATGCAATCCTTCTGTTTATTGCGTTTCTTGAGTTGCATTAGATGTCAGATGATTAAATTCTCTGTTTTTACACACGACTTGAAATATAGTTATTGTTCCCAGGTAAGCTATAGGTTGCCTAAAAGAGGCGATGATCAAAGGACCCGATGTCAAATTTTGACTTCTCGAGCACAGGCTATAGATTCCGATACTTATAAATTGAGCATAGATGTATTTTCTTGTATCCTTTGACGCCAGTTTTACCCTTTAAGATGCCACATTGTGAATTGTAGATAAACAGTCAATGTTGGTTGATGTTCTATAGGTTCAGCACATCATACCTTGTGCCAGGTTAGAAGTTTCGGTTTTGAACTTTAGTACCGATTTTCGATGTTTCATTTAGATATATTTTTTGGTATCTTTTATTGTTTTCCAATTCGTACATCTCATTCTGTATATCAATTGTTGTTCAATTCTTCACTTGCCAGTTTCAGCATTGCAGTCAAGCTTTGCATATTTCTTGGGGAAAGTTAGGATTTAGTTCTCTTAAGCTTTCACGTGCTGTAATATTGAGTCCCCACATGACCAAAATTGTAACGTGGATGTCAAAATTGCTCCAGACTTTCAGTTGTCCAGATTCTTTAGTTTCAATAGGTTGGAATTTCAGAGCTACAATTTTGAATGTTGGGGAGAATAATTTTATTTATTTATATATATTTTTTATTATTATTATTATTATTATTATTATTATTATTATTATTATTATTATTATTATTATTTAACATATCTGATTTATGCAATAAATAAATAATTTCTGATATAGAAACTTAAAAACATGTCCCTGTAAATTTATTTATTTATTTAGCCCTATGCATTTTTAAGTTCATTAGTCCAAGTCCATAGTCCTAAAGCAGAAACCTAATGAATGTCCCAAAAATGGTTATTGAGGAACTCAAAATCACTAGGATATAAATATGTATATATATGTTACTTATTATTACATTCTTTAAAAATAATTTAAATATTTCCCTTGTCTTGAGAAAATAATATAATTTATATAGGTCTAGAAAATTTTAAAAAGGTTCAATTATTGAATGAAATTTTAAGCTAGAATACACATTAATTTATAAACTTGTGATTTACATTTATACTATTTTTGATAAAAAAAATTATTATTTTTTATTTTCAAGAACAAGAAGCTCCAAAATTTGTTTTTATTGCCCCACTTTTAAATTTTTTTTATTCTTTTTAATTTCTTAATTTTTGTTTTTTGTTTTTGTTGTGGTATTTTTTTTTTTTTTTTTTTTTTTTTTTTTTTAGTCTGCTCATTTTTATCTTAGATTCTTGAAATTGTTGTTGTAGTGTTGAATTGTTGACGTGTCACCGAACCGTTTGACTGTGAAAAAAAAAAAAGAAAAAAGAAAAAATGCCACATGACATCTTCGACATGCCGATAATGATAACAAGTCCATTTATAATTGTTTCACCCCCTAACTAAATTCCTGAATCCGCCACTAAAACTAATCCCATACTTTTATCATATCATAGTGTCTGCTTTCTTCACACGATAATTATAAAGTCTTTGCATGTTGTTCACGGGTCATGTAGACATTTTTAGAAATAGTGTCTGCTGAAACTAGGGTTCCAAAGATATCAAGACCGTCCATGTACATATTACATAGTATATTAACCAAACCTCCTAATGTAAACATGAATTCTTACAAATGATTATTGTACACCGTAAGAATTAGAAATCTTATCAGTAACTCGAGATTTCAATATCCTCCTAGACAGAAAAAGGTATGGAAATCCACCTAGTAGAAACTTATTTCTAAGATGAAAATTGTAACTTCGAAAAAGAGACATTCCTGTGGTTGTTTGGAGTAAGTTCAAGAGTGGAAACGGCTGAGAAAATGAAAAGAAAATCACTGCAGGGTACTGATAACATCATCGAATTGAAGTTAACATAGACATGCTTATATCACTAAGTTAAGAAAATTTAACGTCTTATAACATTGACGAGTTGAGTCGAGTCGAATATATGACCAATTTCTTCAGGGTAATGAGTAGTTCTTAGTGCACTTTGTTGAGCAGGATCCCACACAGTTATCAACCTTTTCTCCGTCTGAAAAACACAGAAAAACAACATCAGAACTCACAAAACCAGAGATTACAAGAAATTTTACTATTAACAACAAAAACTTTAGTCCTAAAAAACTATTTTTTTATGTTATTCCGTGAAAAGGGGCCTTTCAAGAGACTTTTTCTTGGGTACTGATAACATCATCGAATTGAAGTTAACATAGACATGCTTATATCACTAAGTTAGAAAATTTAACGTCTTATAACATTGACGAGTTGAGTCGAGTCGAATATATGACCAATTTCTTCAGGGTAATGAGTAGTTCTTAGTGCACTTTGTTGAGCAGGATCCCACACAGTTATCAACCTTTTCTCCGTCTGAAAAACACAGAAAAACAACATCAGAACTCACAAAACCAGAGATTACAAGAAATTTTACTATTAACAACAAAAACTTTAGTCCTAAAAAACTATTTTTTTATGTTATTCCGTGAAAAGGGGCCTTTCAAGAGACTTTTTCTAGACGAAATTCTTTACTTTTCGTCGGTAAAATGAAATTTCATGTAGTGAGAGAGAGAAGATAATTACTTGGTTTCTGTTTAGTGCTAATAGTGGAGCACATGGAGAAGGCACATCCAAGTTTGCAGAATCCTAGATTTTCCACATCTTCATTAACGCCTTGTGGGGTGTCTGGAAATATGCATTGTTTCAAACAGTGTGTAGCGCAGGAACAAAGGGTTTAAGAAGGTTCAATCATACAAAAAATAAAACATTTTGCATAGCAATCTTTGAAAGAGGCACAACCCTGCCCAGTTAGCATTCCCAAAGCCAAAACCAAGACAACTGCTTTTAGAATCCTCACCTCCATATTTGCTCTTATCAAGATGGAAATGGGCTAAAGAGACCTTATATTCTGGTTTCATTCTTTTATAGAATTGTAAATTCCTTTAGAAAACAATTTTCTTTTATGACTCCACAATGGTAGGTCCCTGACCTTCATAATGGTTGACTGAATAATTATCGACCAGCTTTCTATGTTTAGAACTTTCTTTATGTATATTTAAACGGCAGAGAAGGTTCAATCATACAAAAAATAAAGCATTTTGTATAGCAATCTTTGAAAGAGGCACAACCCTGCCCAGTTAGCATTCCCAAAGCCAAAACCAAGACAACTGCTTTTAGAATCCTCACCTCCATATTTGCTCTTATCAAGATGGAAATGGCCTAAAGAGACCTTATATTCTGGTTTCATTGTTTTATAGAATTGTAAATTCCTTTAGAAAACAATTTTCTTTTATGACTCCACAATGGTAGGTCCCTGACCTTCATAATGGTTGACTGAATAATTATCGACCAGCTTTCTATGTTTAGAACTTTCTTTATGTATATTTAAACGGCACGTGGAAGGTGGTTTTATGGCATTTTTCGAACATGTTGACACTGGACTTTGTCCAAGATAGACAATGAATCAGGTACAGTTAATAATTGAACACGATTTAAGTAAGATGAGATCGAAAATGAAAATCTGCGATGCCAATAGAGAGATTAAAGCGAAGCCGCATCTGAATCCAAGCACAAGGAGATATGTTCTGAACGCTTTTATGCATATTCTTGGAGACTTCACTGAAGCTATAGACTTCTCGAACTTGAGGTACAACAATAAATTCATGAAACTTCTTCAATTAGTGAGTTTCGATAACATTGAGAATGAATAAGGCGAATGAAGATAGTTCTTTAACTTTATGTTGTATTTATCTATCTTCTTCCTACATATTATTGTAGTTTTAACCTTTGTATTAATAAAGCATGTCACTAATAGAAGTGCAAAAATAATAACGCGCACATAAAGTGAACATGTGATTGTTTTTTGTCTTTTCCTTGGTAGGTAAGAACTGCAGAGTCACATTCTAGTGGGCATGATCTCAACCAAAATTTGGATGAAAGATTCTACATTTTCCTTGCAAACAATCATTTTGTCCCATCCTAAATGCTTTCTACTCACGGGTTTGTGTTATACACTACTATAAATTAATTAAAAGATAAAACCCACAGTAGTTAGTGCTAATCTAATATAAATATATCATTATGTAATTCTTTATATCTAGTAGGTGTTAGGACCGGGTGGAAACGAAACGTAAGAATTGAGATTTAATGAATACCAATTTGAAGTATAATACAAGATCGTAAAATACCACGAACAAGATTAAAATAAAAGATGAATTAAGCAGAGGAACGACGAATTTTATTAATATGGAGATAATTACAACTGGACAGTAATGATACTTCAATAAGACTGACGGATGAGCCTTGTATTTATAGAACACTTGATCTAGCCCTAAAAAAGTCCCAAAAAGATAGAAATATATAATTCAATTAGACTCCTATTTGAGTCACACTTCTAACAGTAGGTAGAATTAAATAATATGAAATGAAGTATGAAACTAACATTTCACTTTAGTTATGTCCAATCCAGTTCAACCTTCTCGATTAAATATGTTATATATACCTCAGTAAATTCTATGCAATCATTGAACTTTCACTGAAATCTCAATTGGGTCAATCAACTTTAACTTATATCAACTGTCATTGAAGTTTAATTTAGTTTATAGTCATCGAGCTTTTAATATGCTCACATTGGTGCAGCAGCAGTTTTACCATTTTCGTTTATAGTGTGCCACAAAGAAAATAGGTGGAAGATTAATTATTGTATGATATGTTATGAGGTGTAGAGAAGGCGATACGAGGGTTTTCTAGTTTATGTACTTCTTCGGATAGCACAAAAATGAGTTCTGGAAAATCAAAATCTTTCAAAATTTTGTTTTCATATCACACCCGGAAAAGAAGTGGTGAAGCCTAGGCAGGACTTAGCCTCCTAGGTGCTAAATTTGATTTGCAAAATATTGAGAGCAAGATGTGATTTTTGCTGCGGGGGCACCCATATGCTACCTAGACAGCAAGAAATTGCAACCCAGGTAATCCATGTACCAAACCTGTACGTTTTGGTCCCTAATTCAATGTTTCTTTACAATTTAGTCCATCCAACTGTAAATCCTCCCAATTAGGATCTTCCATTTTCAACTACCTTCGAATTGGTCCTTCATTTTTAAAATCTTCCACTTTGATCTTCCAACTTAATATTTCCTTCAAAATTGATCCTCCAAAAGTGTTGAGAATGGTCAAGTTAGTCCTGAAACTTGTGAATTCAATTGGCACTTTCAAAGCTTCCATTCAAGCTCAACTTTCTGGTTGCTCCTCAAGTCCGCATTTACCATGGAATTAAAGTCCAATTGATCTCTTTTTTCTTTTTCTTTTTTTCACCTTTGAGTGGATTTTTACCTACAAGCACAATATTTACATAATTATGAGCATAAATCTATGTCAAATCAATATTATTAAAGTTTAGAAGCCTAGATATGTGTATAAAACAAACTTATCAAGCAATCGAACTCTCTATTTTGCTAGTTCCAAGCAAAACTATCGACTCAATCATTCTAACACACAAGCACGTGAATATAAAGACTTTAGTCATTAGATAGCTTTTCATATTTTTCTAAGGCTTAAAACTTACTTCATCAGATAGCTCAACTTGTAGCTATCATATGGTGGTTTGAAATAGGACATAGATATCATTGCAATTGCCTATGATGCAAACTTCCTTTTTTCCATAGTTGATCTAGCTATACACATTTGCTTTGTTGATTTCCATGAAACAGCATCTCCACCAAGTGTAAACACATAATTAACTGTGGACTTGGAATCCTCATATCGGATATCCAATTTGCGTTACAATATCCTTCCAATATTGCAGAAAATCTTGTGAAATGTAATCCATAGGTTGAGGTATATTTTAAATACATAAAAAACTCTTGTCAATGCCACCCAATGATGATGGCTTGGATTACTCGTGAATCTGTTACGTTTATTCACAACAAAAGCAATATTCGATCGAGTGTAGTTCTTAACATACATTAGATTGTCGATTACTTGGGAATATTTCAATTGTGACACGCTTTCACCCTTATTTTTGACCAAGCGTAGATTTGTATCAATAAGAGTTTTTGCTGAACTTTTCTCTAATATGTCAAACTTCTTAAGTATTTTCTCAATATAATGAGATTGGGAAAGTACAATTCCTTTCGATGTTCTAGAGATATTTATCCCTAGTATTACATTAGCCACACTCATGTCTTTCATGCCGAAATGTTTCGTTAGCATTTTCTTGGTGTTTAGCAACATATTGTGGCTATTGCCTATTATTAACATATCGTTTACGTATAGACATACTATCACATAGGCATATGGTGTATTTTTCACGTATATACACTTTTAACAGTCATTTATTTTGAATTCATTTGACAATATTATTTTGTCAAACTTCTGGTGCCATTGTCTAGGAGTTTGTTTCAATTTATATAAGGATTTAACAAGTTCACACACTTTATATTTTTGATTAGGAGAAACAAACCATTTAAGTTGCTCCATGTACATCTCATCTTCTAGCTCATCTTTTAGGAATGCTGTTTTTACATTCATTTGATGAATCTCAAGGTTATCTATTACAGCAATTGCAATTGGTAACTTTATTAAAGTGATTCTAGTCATGAGTGAGTAAGTATCAAAGAAGTCAAGTCATTTTTTTTTACCTACATCCTTTCGCAACCAATCTAGCCTTATATTTGTTAATGGATCCGTCAGGTTTCAACTTCTTTTTGAATATCCATTTGCACTCTAAAGGCTTATTTTTGGGAGGCAAATCAACTAACTCCTACATATAGTTTTGCATTATGGAATCTATCTCGCTGTTGATAACTTCATTCCAATGTGGTGCTTCTGGAGTAGACATTACTTTCTCGATAGTCTTTGGTCATTTTCTACCATATATGTTAGAAAATCAGGACAGAATGATGTGGACGTTCTAGTCCTCTTATCACGCCTTAGTTCTTCCTCATTTGAAGATTCAGTTGGAGTTTCATATGTTCTTTTATTTGAACTTGTCGTTTCCTTATTTTTGCAAGGAAACTTATTTTCAAAGAATATTGCATTCCTTGATTCAATTATGGTGCCCTCGTATACATCTTAAATTTCAGATTTATGCACAAGGAAACGACATGCGTTACTATTATTGGCATACCCAATAAATATTCAATCAATCATCTTGGGACCAATTTTAATTTGCTTAGGCTTAGGAACTTCTACCTTCGCCAAACACCCCCACACTTTAAGTGTTGGTAGGACAGATGATGACCTTTCCATAGTTCATATGGAGTCTCTTCCATTTTCTTGAGAGGTATTCGATTGAGAAGACTATGTGCCGTTAAAATAACTTTCCCACATAAGTTCTGAGGTAAACCCAAACTTATGAACATCGCATTCATCATCTCCTTAAGAGTTCAATTTTTGCGTTCAACAACACCATTAGATTGACGAGATTATGGTGTCATTATTTGATGAATGATTCTATGTTCGGAACAGAATTCTTCAAATGGTATCCCATATTCGCCCCCTGAATCACTACGAATATTCTTAATTCATTTATCAAGTTGTGTTTCAACTTCAACCTTATATTGTTTAAAGGCATCTAAGGCTTTGTCTTTACTTATCAAAAGAAAGACATAGCAATACCTTACACAAGTCATCGATGAAAGTCACAAAGTATTTCTTACCATTCTTAGATTGAACAAATTTCAAATCACACATGTCACTATGGATTAATTCTAGAGGTATCGTGTTCCTTTGAATCGAATGGAACAATGTTTTAGTTATTTTGCTTCAACACATACTTCACATTTATGATTAGGATCGACATTATGCACTGGAATTAAACTTTGATTCATAAGTTTGCATAATGATTTATAATTCACATGTCCTAATCGATTATACCATAAACAAGATATCTCGAGCAAGTAAATAGAACTTTTGATTTTATTCATAATGCCTTATTTTGGTACAACAGTGAGAATGTTCATCTTGAACATTCCGTCACACATGTATTCC